CCATGTGCCAGTGTTCATAGGAGGCTGATTCCCTCAAGAGAGAAGGGAAGGGAACAAACATTAAGTGCCTACTGGGTACCAGGCTCTATGCTAAGTGCTTTACAAATATTACTTCATTTGATCCTCACAAGAACCCTGTGAAGTAGGTTGCTAATATGGTCTCCATTTTACAGCTGAGAAAAAGGAGGCATTAGAAATTAAGTAACTTGCTAAGGGTCAGAGAGGTAGCGAGTGTCTAAGACTGGATTTGAACTCAGGTCTTTCTGACTCCAGGCCCAGTGTTCTGTCCACTCAGCTCCCTTGGAAGACATTGCACACTTTCTCCCACACTGGGTGTACCTTCTTTCATGCCCACTGACACACTGGGCCAGTTAGGACAATCTCTTACTCACAACCATTTCAAAATAGACCCTTTACTACCATCAGTCATCAGCCTCTCTTTCTGTGAGGTTGCTTCTTCCATCTCTGACATTTAGTTTTTATCTTTACTGTTATCTGTTGGTTTCCAGATGATTTTCCTTCCTTTATCAATAAAGTCAGTACATCATTTTCTTCTCCAGCTCCAAGCCCTGTCCCTGTACTAGAGGCCTCTGATATGCACGTGAGTTTCTTCTTAGACACATAGGCCTCTTACTTCACCACATCAAATTCCATTACCTATTTTTAATCCACTTCAGACACCTAATAGATGGTCATAGCCTTGTTCTCACCTATTTTTAATTCACTTCAGCCACCTAATAGATGGTCACATCCTTAACTCTCCCCATCTCTAATGACTGTGGTCCCTCCATGACTCAGAACTCTGAAATCCTTCCCTGAAATTTGTCCCTCCCTTAAGGAAGAATTTCTTGTTTTCCCAACTCTCCCTCTGCCTTACTCTTCCTAAACCTATTGTTCATTCTCCTTACGACCATCAGTTCCTCTACCCCTCCCTATTTTCCAAATTCTTTCCCCTTCCACTGTTTTCTGACAGTCTTGACCCTATGGTTGGATCAGGTCAATACCATAATATCCCAAGATATCCCAGGTTCTTTTTCCTCTTTATCCCAACACTAGCTACTCCTTGCCAAATTAATTAAGTACTTGACACATTTCCTAGCTGTGTGACCCTGGGCAAGTCACTCAACCCCAATTGCCTAAAAGCAAAAAAAAAAAAAAATTAAGTACTAGACATGGGTAAGATATTGTACTGGAACACAATATCAGATAAAATGATTAAAAAAAATTAAAAGAAAAATTGAAGTGTTTTTTTTCCTTTAAGGATTTTACACACAATACCTTTCATTCTCATCTTCTATTTCTCTTGGTCCCCTGGCTTCTTCCATGTTAGCTACAAGGATGGCCAGGACACACCCCTTCTTTAAAACCTACACTTTGTTCTGCTCTCTCTCTTTCCCTCCTTTCCACTCTCCCTTTCCATTCCTCTCCCCCTCTCTCCCCACCTCTTTCTTCCTTTCTCCCTCCCCTCCCCACCCCTACCTTACATTCAATCAACTTCTTGTTGTTTTTGTTTAGTTGTTTTGGTCCTGTCTGACTGTCGGTGATCCTATTTGGGGATTTCTAGGCAAACAGTGTTTGCCGTTTCCTTCTCCAGCTCATTTCACAATGGGGAAATGGAGTCAAACAGGGTTAAGAGACTTGCCCAGAGTTATAGAGCTAAGAAGTAGAACTGAATTCAAATCTTCTAGATTCCAGGCTTGACACTTTATCCAGTGTGCCACCCAGCCTAAAGCTACTGCTCTATGTCTCTTCTCCCTTTCAGAGTCAGTGGTAAGAAATCTCTATGATCATTTAATCCATTTCTTCAGTTCTCGCTCATTCCTCAAACATTTCCAATCTGGCTTCTGAATTGTCCCCAGTTCTATTGAAATTTTTCTCTCTATAGCATGTACCTGAGCTGATGAATTAAAAGGCCTTTTCACAGGCCTCACTTGGCCTTTTAGTAGGATCTTTTTGTTTGTTTTTCCTATACATCACTGACCATCCTGTCTTCATAGATATGCTGTCTACTTCTTTGGTTTACATGAAATTGCTCTTTCTCCATTCTCCTTCTACCTATGTGACCACTCTTTCTCAGACTCTTTGCCATCTTCCACCCAGTAAGTGTGTGTGTGTACCAAAGTTCTGTCCTCTGCCCTCTCTTCTTTGTTTAACCTCTCATTTGGTTATTTCATCAGTTTCTATGAAGTTGATTATCATCTCTAAGTAGATGACTCCCAACTTTATGCACCCAGTCAGGCCCAATTAATGTCATGAATTCCCGTTCCTCATTTCCAGCTTCATTCTGGATTGTTCAAGGAGATGTCCCAGCACATTTAGCATGTCCAAAATAGGGCTCATTTTGTCTGCCCCTCCTTCTCCCCACCATCCACTTTTCCTCCAGACTGCTCTATTTCTTTTGAGGGCACACCATCTTCTCTTTAACCCAGGTACATAACCTCAGTCATCCTCAATTATTCTCACTCTCTCTCTCTTTCCCTCCTTTCCACTCTCCCTTTCCATTCCTCTCTCCCTCTCTCCCCACCTCTTTCTTTCTTTCTCCCTCCCCTCCCCACCTCTATCTTATATTCAATCAGTTGGAAAATCCCATTAATTCTGCCTTCACAAGATTGCTTGTGTCTGATTCGCACTTCTCCATTCATATGACTGCTCCCACGGACAAACCCTATCTTATCTGGATTATTGCAACTGCTTTAAAATTAGTTTCCCTCGTTGTTTTTTCAGCATTGCCTCTCTCTAATTTGTTGGCAGCACAGCTACCAAAGTGATATTCTTACAACATAAGTCTGATTTTTGCTCCTCAGCTCCAAAACCTTCACAGGCCCCTTAATGTTTCTAAGATTCTTCCTAAGAAGAATCTCAACTGTCCTTGACTTCTTAGAGACATGCAAATATTCCTTGTCAATCAGTCAGTTTGTGAACTCTCTCAATATTGCTTAATCTGCAACCTGACTTAGTTTACCTGGAGAGTTGGTGTGAAAAAATTTGTTTCCTTAGGGGATGCATGAGATGATGCTTCTGTTTGTTTGTTCAATATTTATGACATTGAAGGAAGTATGAGATTTTTGATTTATTTTTTCTTTAAATTTTATGGCCTTGGAGGAATGCATAAGATTGCAATATGTAAAAGAATAATTTCTCTGTCACTTTGATGCAATTTTGCCTATAACAAGTCTTATTAGAGTCCTAATCAGGATCCAGGTTTTCTCTGAGGCCTGAACCTACACTTGAGCATGAGAATAAAATCTAAATTTTTAAATATAGAATTTTTGCCTTGTGGTGAATATGTATTTGACGGCACTTACCTACCACATAAGCTGAGAGAGGAGACATTTTTCTTGCAACAGTGTATATGTCCTCACTCCGCAGAAGGCTCTTTGAGAGCAAAGGTGATTGCAATGTTTTGGTCTTTGAATCCATAGCACCAAGTGACACTGCTTTGAACGTGGTGGAACTTATTCAATGTTTATAGAATTTAATGAAGTTGATGATGATCACATGTGTCATAGCCGTGGTGCATGAGATGCATGAAGCCCACAATATTCCCAAGTCCTGCCCAAACCAGATTAAAATGTAGTTGGGAAGTATTTAACAAAATAAATTAATGAATAAAGGTGAGAAATACGCAAACAGGTGTGATTTCCAAACTCACTATGCAGTTTGGAGGAATATTCATGCATGGTTGAGTTGTCTCCATTTGTGCTTGAATTTGGAGATAATGGGGTGCAGATGAGGAGAGGTGATTAGAAAAGAAGGGGCTTTTGAAGATGTCTGATTTTCCGATCAAGTATGATTTCCATAGCAGGACTAAAAATATAAGCTCTTTGAGGATAGACACGGTTTCTCTTTTGTGGGACGGTGCATGGCACACAAATGATCCATGAGAAATTCTTATTGATTTGAATTGAGTCTTATTGGCATAAATCATGTATCCACCTGTAAGGTAATTTTTTGGCACTATGACTTCTTGTTGATAAATCCTTTAAGGAAGACTTGTAGAAAAGACATGGACAAAATCTGTACGGGATAAGGTGTGGCAATCATGTCATGGCCCAAACCAATGACATTAGAATCCAGTGAAGTCATTTGGAGCCTGTGCAAATTTCAGAGAACAGAGAGGGTGAGGCATGGTCAGGAGAGGTGAAGCAGGTTCACTACCTAGAATGGATTACTGAGGAAGTGAGTCATAAGGAATGGATATATTGTATAGATAGGGTAAGGAAGAAGAAAGGTGGGGCTGGAAGCCCTTACTGAGAAGTCACTAATATCCTTATCCAATGTCTCCCTCACCCAGCTCCACTAGCCACTTTCTTGCTTGCTCTATTTCCCTCCCCTACTCACCTGCCCATACACTAAGTAATTATGGGAAATGATCTGTTTGTACACAGAGAATATTCAGGAAGGGATTTGACCCCCAAAACTTGGGTCAAGGGCACTGGCCCATTGGAGAATGGGGTACAATACATAAAGTGATTTAACTTCTAGAGGGCCTTGTTCTTCCCACTCCCTGTATGACACAGTGGATAGAGCACCCACCTTGGAGTCAGGAAGAACTGAGTTCAAATCTTGCCTCAGACATTTCATAGCTATATGACCGTGGAAGTCCCTTAAACTCTCTCAAGTTCATCTATCAAATGAGGGTTCTAATACAAATTATTTCATAGGATTGTGGCAAGGATCAGATGAGGGAACCTAAGTGAAGGGCTTTGTCAACATCAAGCACTATTGCTATGAACCTGGAATAAGATGAGAATTGTCTTGTCTGTGCTCCCACCATTCCTTGGTAGCTGAGGAAGGAGTAAGGGGAAGCATGGGGTGACATCATTGCCAGCCTCCTGATGCCAAAGAGCTGTCAAATGGGCAATTTTCTTCCAAAAGACTGAATGGACAGGTAAAGGAGGAAAATGAATGTGATTCACAGCTGGGCAGGGAAAGGATGAATACGGTAAAGCCCAAAGCCATCTCATCTCCTTGAGGCAGGCAGAAGACATCCTATAAAAGGTTTCCAACATTCCCACAACTGAGCAACAGACCTGAGTTCTTTGACAAGCTTCTTTCTCTGAGTGCCAGGTAAGTCTCTGTCCTCTGAATTTCTAGCTAATAACTTGAGCATTGGGATTTCATAGTCTTAGAACTTTGCTTTGGAGATGAAGAACCTGACCTCCAGAGAAAAGTGACTTGACTGAAGTCACACAATTAGTTACCATAGTAGCAGAATATGACTAGATTCAAGGTTCCTCATTTCTGACTGGAGCGATTTATGCTTTCTGGTCCATTTCATTCTGTTAGAATGAATGTAAAAACCACAATTGTGCCTCCAGAGTTAATATTAAATATCCTTTGACAGTATTTCATTGAAACATAGCTCAAAGGGGAACAGATCTTAAGAATTCCTTATTCATGTAATATTATATATACATACATAAGAGTTTATGTATGTGTATCTATTCATATGCAAATATATAGGCATGTATATTCTGAAGAAGAATATAGATGGGGGTCATGCTCTCTCTCAGGGGTATTTGAAGTAATGCCACATGGAAGAAGGATGAAATTAGTGCTACTTGGACCAGAGCCCAGTACAAGGAACAAAGAGTAGTAGCTACAGAAAGGCAGATTTAGGCTTCACTTAATGAAATGACTTCCTGACAGAGTTATCTCAAATTCAAATGGAATGCCATGGGAGGTAGTGGAAGTCTTGAAGCAAAGGCAGGATGAGGTTTGTGATAGAATGAGGAGATGTTTGTTCAGGTATAGGTTGGGCTAGATGGCTTATGAATTCTCCTCTGACTTCGAGATTATGTGATTCTGAGTGCCTACAGTCAAAATGCTGTATTTTACAGATGAGAATGTAGAGACAGCTGGTATAGTGGACAGAGTGCTGGGCCTGGAGTGAGTGAGACATGAGTTTAAATCCAGTCTCAGACATTTATTAGCTGTGTGTCTCTAGTAAATCATTTGATCTCCAACTGCCTCAGTGACCTCTTCTGTAAAATGGGATAATAATAGCACCTACCTCTTAGATTTGTTGTGAGGATCTGATGAGATATTTGTAAAGTATTTTGCTGTAGAAATGCTAGCTATTCTCATTATTTTTAGAGAGGCAAAGGGACTTGTTCAAGGTCACATGGCCAGTCAGTGGAAGAGCTAGTATTTTAACACTCTTTAACTTTAACACTAGAACTCTTAGGGGTGTGTGTGTGTGTGTGTGTGTGTGTGTGTGAGAGAGAGAGAGAGAGAGAGAGAGAGAGAGAGAGAGAGAGAGAGAAAGAGAGAGAGAGAGAGAGAGAGAGAGAGAGAGAGAGAGAGAGAGAGAGAGAGAGAGAGAGAGAGAGAGTATGTGTTTATGGGGTACATATTATCCACATGAGTTGGTTTCAGGTTTTCTTAATTTGGGGACTGTGAATTTGGCTTTTTATTATTTTGATAAGTACATTTCCATAAAAGTAATTGAACTCCTATATATTTTATTTTATACATTTAAAAACATGAGAAATCAACAGGATTCACAGGCCTAAGTATTCCATGACAAAAAAAGGTTAAGAATACCCGATTTATGTAGAGCTGTCAATTAAGGGTCTTCAGTATGGTTTTGCTATACAAATGCAGCAGTTTTTAGTGTTTTTAATTGGCAGGTCTGACTCTTTCTGACACAGTTTCTTTCCATGTGACTTTAAAGTGTTTGAAATTTATCCCTGAAACAGACTATGTTACACTCATCCCTGCTGTAACTTTGGACAGTACAAGAAAAGACATATAAAGAAAAAGTGGTGGCATAGGCCTTGGAAAAAGCACAGCATTTGGCCTTTCAGTAGATCTTTGGTCCAAATGCCAGCACTGCCAGCTCTTATTTATGTGGCTTAAACTGCCCATGCCTTAACCATTTCCTTATCTGTAAAATGAGGAGATTGGAAGAGATGATCTCTGTTGCTCCTTCCAATGCTAGACTTGATGATCCCAGAGAGGACAAGGAAAAAGAAGAGTGTAGGGGAAGAGAAATGAAGCTTTGGAGTAAAGAAGGCAGACAGGGATGCAGGAGAGACAGTGATAAAAAGGCAAAATGGAGCCGGGAGGTTCAAGAGCAGACTCTGTCCATAGGTGGATCCCAAAGCCGGACTAGGAAGGGTGAAAAGACAAGGAATCAGGGGAAACTGATGACTATCCTTCTGTCCTCTAAGTTAGTCAGATTTAGGGTATATTCTAAAAGGGAAATGGGCAAGAGAGACCCCAAAGTGCCCTGAAAACCATGCTCTTCTCACAGGGGCTTTTTCTCTCCCCATATCATAAAAGAATTGCTATCATTTCCTCTCCAGGTCTATCCAAGACAGCAAGCCATGTTTTCCCAGCAGCAGAAGCAGCCCTGTACTCTACCTCCCCAGCAGCAATCTGCCTCCCAATGCAAAGAGCCTTTCCACCCCAAGGAGCCACAGCCTTGCCATCCCCAGGTGCCACAGCCCTGCCATCCCAAGGTGCCACAGCCTTACCCTCCCCAGGTGCCACAGCCTTGCTATCCCCAGGTGCCACAGCCTTGCCATCCTCAGGTGCCACAGCCTTGTTTACCCACTGTTACTCTACCTGCTCAACAGAAGTGCCCACAGGTCCCCAAGACCATGCAGATGTAAGAAGACTCAAGATTCCCCTCCTGGAGACCCACTTCTGTGTTAAATTCATTTTCCAGTTCTAATTGCTCAAGCTCTCTGTGTTTCCTGGGAAAGTTCTGGTGATCTGCAGCTGTAATTCTCATGTTCCAATCCATTAGCAAGAACCCTGCCCTTCCTTTGGATTCTGAAAATGTTTTCTACAGAAATGTGTCCCTATCCAGGACCGGGCTGAAGCTACATGTTTCTGAGCTGACCCTCTGGGTACTCAACTGTCAGGGCCAGAATCAGTCTAGGAATGTTGTAATCAAGAAATGACTGAATCCTTCCCTCATCCATTAAACATGCTCTCCATACTATTTCTGGCTGGTTGTGTGTTATTATTGGTTGTTTCCTACTCTTCTTCATTTTCTTCTTTTCAGATTTAAGGTGGATGAAGGATATGGGGAAACTAGAGAATATACCTCCTGGCTCAGGAGCTCCCAACCAAGGGTGGGGGACTAGGGTGGGTAAAGGTGCAGAGTATTTAATCCTGGCATGAGGTTCAGGACCAGCTGGCAGCATCATGGGCATGTACACTCTTTCCAAGGCTCAAGCCAGAGTCGGACGTGGCCCACATGTCTCTACTCTTGGCTCCAACTCGTGTCTAGAATCCAACATGGTGCTGCCCTCTCTCCAGTTGTGCTTCACCCTCTCCCCCACCTGCAAAACACCAGCTGCTGGTGAAATGAAAAGACCATTAATACTGCAGGCCAAAGAGGTTCAAGTCTTGGGTTTCCAATTACTACTGATGTGAACTTTGGCAAATGAATGTACTCTTCTAAAGCTCATTTCCTTCTGTAAAATAGGGATAATGATGTCTTCACTCTCTTACTTACAGAGTTTAAGTGAGGGAAATTCCTATAAAAATCTAATTATGCATATTAGGAAAATTATCAATATAATTGACCACATCAATAACAAAACCAACAAAAATCATATGATTACCTTAAGTGATGCTGAAAAAGCATTTGAAAAAATATAGCACTCATTCTTATTAAAAACAATAGAGAGTATAGGAATATATATAGCTTTTCTTAAAATGATAAGCAGTATCTATCTAAATCCAACAGCAAGCATTATCTATAAAGGGGATAAGGTAGAAGCCTACCCATTATGATCAGAGGTGAAGTAAGGAGGTCCGCTGTCACCCACATTAGCTATAGCAATAAGAGGAGAAAAAGAAATTGAAGGAATTAGAATAGGCAATGAGGAAACAAAACTATCACTCTTTACAGATGATATAGTTATACTTAGAGAACCCTACAGCATCAATTAAAAAAATACTTCAAATGATTAATAGATTTGGCACAGTTGCAGGATATAAGATAAACCCACATAAATCATCTACATTTTTATATGACAAATTAAATCCCAGAAGCAAGAGATAGAAAGAGAAATTTCATTTAAACTAAGTATAAACAACTTAAAAATTTAGAAGTCTACCTCCCAAGACAATCCTAGGAACTATATGAACACGATTACAAAGCAGTTTTCCCACAAATAAAATCAGATCTAAACAACTGGAAAAATATCAGTTGCTATTGGCGAGCCTGAGCCGATATAATCTGCCTAATCTAATTTACCTATTCTGTGCCATACTAATCAAACTAACAAAAATTATTTTATAGAGTTAGAAAAAATAACAACATAATTCATCTGGAAGAATAAAACATCAAGAATATCAAGGGAATTAATGAAAAGAAAATGTAAAGGAATGTTGCCTAGCAATGCCAGATCTCAAACTATATAATGAAGGAGTATTCATCAAATATATTTGGTACTGGCTAAGAAATAGAAAGCTGGATCTGTGGAACATGTTAGGTACACAAGACACAGTTGTCAATGATCATGGTAACCTAGTGTTTGACAAACTCAAAGACCCCAGCTTTTGGGACAAGAACTCATTATTTGACAAAAACTGCTGGGAAAACTGGAAAACAATAAGACACCGACTAAGTATAGATCAACATCTCACACTGTACAAAAAGATAAGATCAAAATGGGTGCATGATTGAGAAATAAAGGGTAATACCATATACAAATTAGAAGAGTAAGGAATAGTTCACTGGTCAAATGTATGGGGAGTGGAAGAATTTATGAGTACACAAGAGATAGAGAGCCTTTCAAAATGTAAGATAGGTAATTTTGACTATATTAAATTAAAAGACTTTTGTACAATCAAAATTATTGTAACCAAGATGAGAAGGAAAGCAGAAAGCTGAGGAACAATCTTTACAGCAAGTGCCTCTGATAAAAGCCTCATTTCTCAAATATGTAGAGAACTGACTCAAATTTCTAAGAATACAAACCATTCCCCAAATGACAAATGGTCAAGGGATATGAAGAGGTAGTTTTTAGATGAAAAAATCAAAGCCGTCTATAGGCATATGAAGAAGTGCAATAAATCACTTTTGATCAGAGAAATGCACATTAAAACAACTCTGAGGTACCACCTCACAACTATCAGATTGGCTAATATGACAAAAAAGGAGAATGATAAATGTTAGAGGATGTGGGAAAATGGGACACTGATGCACTGTTCCTAGAGCTGTGAACTGATCCAACCATTTTGGAGAGCAATTTGAAATTCTGCCCAAAGGGCAACCAAAGTCTAAATCAGCCAAAACCAAAGTCTTCAATCAGCAAATACTACTACTAGACCTGCATCCCAAAAAGATCATTAAAAAAGAGAAAGTGATCTATATGTGGAAAAAATATTTATAGCAGCCATTTTCATGGTGGCAAAATATTGGAAATTGAGTGGATGCCCATCATTTGGGGATGGGTTGAACAAGCTGTGATATGTGAATGTAATGGGATACTATTATGCAATAAGAAATGATGAATAAGCAGATTTCAGAATATGCTGGAATGACTTGTATGAATTGATGCAAAGTGAAATGAGCAGAGCTAGGAAAACATTGTAGGCAGTATCAGCAACATTGTATGATGATCAACTGTGAATGCCTCTGCTCTTCTCAGCAACACAATCATCGAAGACAAGTACAAAGCACAAATGCTACCTGTATCCAGATAAGGAACTGATGGACTTTGAATGCAGATCGAAGCATATTTTTTTCACTTACTTTATTTCCTTGTGTTTTTTAATCTGGTTTTAATTTTATAATTGTGACTAATGTGGATTTTTTTTACATGATAGCACATGTATAAAATATATCAAACTGCCTACCATTTTTGGAAGAGAGGAGTAAAGGGAGGAAGAAAAATTTGGAAATCAAAATCTTGTAAAAATCAATGTTAAAAATTTTCTTGACATGTAATGGGGAAAAAGAAAATGCTGTAAAAAATAAAAGCATAAAAATTTTAATTCTGCAGCATCATTACAATTTATTTTGTTAAGCAAATTCCCACTCATCCTGAGAATACATGGAGTTTATACCCTTACCAAGCCCTCAACCCATACCCCTGTGTTGTAAATGATTATCTAGTCACATTCTACTTACTTTACAGATGAATAAACTGCGGTCCAGAGGGAGAAAATATGACATGCTCAAGACTGTTCAACACATTGGTGGCAGAGTCATTTTTAAAAGTCATCTTCCAACTCTTAGGAAAGAAAAAAGAATTTATTAATTAGCTACTGTGTGTCAAGCATTGTGCTAAACTCATTTGATGCCCACAACAATCCTGGGAAATATAGGTTATTATTAACCCCATTTTACAGTTGAGGAAACTGAGGCAGACAGAGGTTAAGTGACTTGCTCTGGATCACAGAGCTAGTAAATGTTTGAATCCGAGTCTTTGAGATGCCTAGTCCAGTGTTCTGTGCACTATGGCGCCACCTAGCAGCCTCAGTACAGTGTTCTTTTCCATCAGACCATACAACCTGTTTACTTTGCACTCTTCTTTTGGGTCTACTAGATACTCCTCACACTGGACATTCCATCTGCCACCTCCAGGTCTCTGTACTTACTGGCTGTTACCCAGGCCTGAAGTGTTGTCTTTCTTTGAATCTACCTCTTAGAATCACTGATCTTCTTCTAGTCTCAGTTCAATTGCCATCCTATGGATGAGGTTTCTAGTCCAATCAACTGCTAGTATACTCCTCTCTGAGACGATTTTGTATTTACTTTGTATGCATCAAATACATGTGTGCATATATGTGTATGTATGTATGTATGAATTATGTGTATGCATGCATATATATAAAGAATCTATGTATATATGTATCTCTCCCTCTCTCTCTCTCTCTCTCTCTCTCTCTCTCTCTCTCTCTCTCTCTCTCTCTCTCTCTCTATATATATATATATATATATATATATATATTATTCTCAATATCTTTATAGATTTCTTCCTACATTCCCTGTGATAGCTGATCATGGGGCTTGTCTCCAATTGGACATCTACCCTTATTCTCCAGCGCTCCCTGGCTTTGCCCTCTCACTCTGCTACTTAAGCGCCCAATGAATTCCCTTCCAAGCCATACTGTGGCTCCTGGGGCACTCATAACCTAAGCCCTACCAGCCACTCTTGTAATATGCAGCAGTAGAAGAAACTGAAAAACCAATGATATAGGAGATCCCCTGAATTAGTGTCGTGGTTTATGTAAATCTGAGTCGAGAGCCTGAGGCAAGGGCAGGAGTTAGAAAGCAGGTTTACTGTACTGTATGAAAGATGCACCTGCACAGGTGCTCCCAGGAAGAACCACCTCCCCCCTCCTCCATTTCTTTGTGGTTTGGCAGGTTCCCCTGGGGGACCAGCTCTGTGCTCCAGATCAGTGACAAGTAAGAGTTCCATTTACCATCCATTAAGGCATGGAATGACTCCCTGACACCCATAGGAGGACCAGTGATGGATGAGGACCCACTTCCTCAGTCCCACCCACGTCAACACTCCTCAATCCCCCTATGTCACATTCCATAACTAACCATACCCTTCCCCCATGCTACCTGGAATGTGCCTGCTCACTAATTCGCCAATTCGCATTCATCTTCAACCTTTTCCAATCCCACTTCTTCCAT